AACATAACAGCAAATGTACATCGTTTCGACAAGGTTTTGTCATCATCAGGTTTTCTTCATTACCCATTCAAGCCGTCTCCAAGCATTATTAGTCTCAAAGTGGGTTCCTCGTCATCGAATTTAAAGCTTCTTATGTGTTAACTCTGTTAAGTAAGTCCGAGGCCATTAATATTACTTTTACACTACTATTTAATGGTCATTAAAATTAATAAGATTAGGTCTAGCTAAAGCTGTTTATGTGTTCATCTTACTAAGAGAGTTCTAGGCTATTGATAAACGATTAAGTTTGGTTTAATGGATAGCAATTGCCTGTTGTAGAAACATAAGTATAGAGGACGACGTTTCGAAAGTCTTCCACCTTTCTTCTTTAGTGAAAATTGAACACCTCTAAGTTTCAAACGTATTTTCCTTGGATTAACAGCAGTTGCTGATTATTAAAGTTGTATTTTTTTATTTCATTGATGCAATTATTATTATGTTTTTGTAGCAGAATGAAGTTTGACATTATGTAATACAACACTCGTAGGTTATTACTTCTCAATTGTAAAATAACTATTAGTGCTTAATGAAAATTGCGGGTTTATGGATATGGTCTTGTCCCGAGAAACCCCAAAAATAATTTATATTTTTGAGGAAAAATATTAAAATAAATTAAACAAATGTTTAAAATAGAAAAAAATATTTAATTTTGTATGTTTTGTATATTTGAATTCAATAGAAAATCAATCAATTTATCAACAGAAATGAGAATCATACCCTTGATTTAATGTTTCATGGAAATCAAACAAAAGTAAAACTTTTTTTGTTTTAAATATTTTTCACTTATAAAAGTGAAGGAAAGTATTCTTTACAGTTTTAGTTTTAATATCATTAGGGAAGCTTAAGTAGTCAGTTGTGATACATATATAAAATCATATAAATTTATTCCTTACTGTAAAATATTTTTGTCCACGACTTAAACTATTTATAATATGTATAATATATGTTTTATAATAATAAAATTAAATTCCTATAGATAATTTTTAAAACCAGTGTATATATATATATATTCACACTTAAATGATGATCATAAATGAGTTATCTTTAACTCTAGAGTGATAATTTTTAAGTGTCTTAAGATACTACACAACACAACTACAAAACTAATGTCGTTCTCTTTTTTTTAAGTAGAAAAATAAGACATTTAGAAAGGAAAATATCCGGATTTTTGCTCCTTTCTACTTACGTATTTACAAAATTCATTTAACTATTGTTTGTTTGTTTTAGTGCAAAGCTGTAACATGTACTCTCAAAGATGTATCCGCTGCAGGGATCTAACTCCACATGTTAGTGTTATAAACCTTAAAGCTTACCGCTTAGCCACGGAGGTAATCGTTCAAATAAATGGAACATGTAAAGGTAACTAAATATGTACCCTCCCCAGTGGCTCAGTGGTAAGTCTGAAAGCTTATAAGGCTAAACACCTGGTTTCGATACCCGTGATGAACACAGTACAGATAGCCTATTGTGTAGCTTTGCACTTAACAACAAACAAACAAATCTAAATACCTGTAAATAATTAACGCTAAAAGTTTAGGTAAAATCGTTTTAAGTTGATATTATGTACCCATAGGCATAATGAACTGATTAGGACTTACCCAGATTTTTCTTGTTTTGCCAATTACCTGCAGAAATCGGTTGCCCGTCCTCTCTTCTCCACGTGACAGTGGGCGTGGGGTAGCCTTTAGCTCGGCATGACAAAGTTATGTTAAATCCCTCTCTCACCAGCTCATCAGAACTACTCTCTCGATCAATAATCATCGGTGGAACTGCAAGAAAGAGATAGAAAAAAATGTTGTGTTGTCAGCACAAGAAGTGATGTTGCGCTGAATAACGAGATGTGAACCTGCTGTCGCATAATTCCGACTATAATCCTTAACAAGGACTATTTATTGAACACTTGAGCTTCCTTTAATTGTCCTACTAGCTTCTGTAGAAAGGATTTCTTTCCTAGAACATTCTAGGAGGAAAGTAGCCTACGCAACAACAATGATGTTACCGTTTCCATTCTTGCTTAAGATACAGTGAAATAAGCATTTTATATTTTGCAAATATACATCTTTTTGTGTGGAAAAGCCCCCCCCCCGAGTCGGCCAACGACGGGGTACCGGGTTAGTTTCGGTTTCCGTCGGGGACGGGTTTAACTTTTAAACCCGAACCCGGTACCTTTAAAATTAAAAACGGGTTT